TCCAGAGGGCCCAGGTTCCAGTTCCAGTACTCTAGTTCCTCTTCTGGTCACCTCTTGGGATTACAGGTGTCATTTTTTTTTTTTTTTGTGTGTGTGTGTGTGTCTCACTGTGGAGTCCTGGCCAACCTAGAACTTACAACAATCTGCCTACCTTTGCCTACAAGTGCTGGGATTAAAGGTACCACCTCACAGGGCTGTAGTAGGTTTTTCTCTTTCGGCTACCAACCAGCTCCTAAATCATGCCACAGAGACTTATTAGTTATGAGTGCTCAGCCTTAATTTAAGCTTGTCCCACCAGCTCTGAAAACTTATTTTAGCCCATTTCTCTTCATCTGCATTTTGCTTCTAGGCCTTTTACCTTTGTTCCATTCTATTTGTCCCACTTTGCTGTTTCCTCTGTGTCTGGTTGGCTGGTGGCTGCCTGGCTGGCTGTCCCTGGGCGGTTCCCTCTCTCCCTTGTTCTCTCCTCTCTAGCTTAGATTTCTCTTCCTACTCATTTTCTCTGTTCACCAGCCCCAGCCATCCCTCCTCTGCCTTGACACTGGCCATTTTTTTCAGCTTTTTATTAGACCAATTGGGTGCCTTAGGCAGACAAGATGAAACAGCAGTACATCTTTACATAGTTAAACAAATACATCATAAATAAATGCAACACACTTTTACATAGTTAAAATAACATTCCACAACACTGGGCCTTGTGTGTGTGTGTTGTGTGTGTGCATTTGTGCTTTGCCTGCATGCATGGCGTGTATGGTCTGTGTGAGGTATTGGATCTCCTGGGACAGGAGTTACAGTTGTGAGCTGCCATATGTATGCAAGCAACCGGTGCTCATAATTGATGAGCCATCTCTCCAGCCCCAGTTTTTTTTTTTTTTTTTGTTTTTGTTTTTTGTTTTTTGTTTTTTGAGATAGGGTTTCTCTGTGTAGCTTTGGAGCTTGTCCTGGAACTAGCTCTTGTAGACCAGGCTGGTCTCAAACTCACAGAGATCCACCTGCCTCTGCCTCCCAAGGGCTGGAATTAAAGGTGGATGCCACCACTGCCCAGCTTTGGGCTTTTTTTTTTTTTTTTTTTAAGACAGGGTTTCTCTGTGTAGTTAGTCCTGGCAGTCCTAGAACTCACTCTATAGACCAGACTAGTATAGAGATCTGCTTGCCTCTCTACCTACTGAGTGCTGGAATTAAAGGCATACACTGCCACCACCTGGCTAACCTGTTTTAAATTTGTGTGTGGCTGTTTTGCTTTGCATGTATGTCTGTATACCTCAAGCATGTCTAATGCCATGGCGGTCATAAGCAGTGATTAAGCTCCCTGGACCCAGAGTTACAAGTGGCTGTGAGCTGTTGTGTTGGTACTGGGAACCCAACCTGGATCCTCTGGAAGAGCAGCAAGTGATTTTAGCTGCTGGACCAGGCCCTTTCATACAGGGTTTTGTTTTTACTTCTTTGGTTTTGTGAGACAGGATCTTTCTACACAGCCTCTGACTGTAAAAGGGGTTGGTCTCAAACTCATATCCATTGCTTCCCAAGTGACAAGATTAAAAGCATGTGAAACAACACCTGCCTTATAGGGCTTTTAAAACTTTTTTTTTTGTTTGTTTGTTTGTTTTTCAAGACAGGGTTCCTCCGTGTAGCTGTGGAGACTGTCCTGGAACTAGCTCTTACAGTCTAGGCTGGTCTTGAACTCACAGAGATCCACCTGCCTCTGCCTCCCGAATGCTGGGATTAAACACATGTGCCACCAACGCCTGGCTTAAAACTGGTTTTAAGGGTTGATCCATCTCACTGGTTGTTTTTTCAAGATAGGGTTTCTGTTTAGTTCTTGCTGTCCTGGAATTCACTTTGTAGGTCAGGTTGGCTGTGAACTCAGAGATCTGCCTACCTCTGCCTCCCAAACACAGGTCTTTTGTTGAGACAAGGTCTTGTAGCCCAGGCTGGCTGGTCTTGAGGGGCCTAGATTGACCTTGAACTCCTGATTCTCATGCCTTTACTTCCTGAGTGCTGGATTCTCAGGTTTGATATTGGCCAGGCTTTTGAAACTCTGTTAGATTGAAAGATCTAATTTGTGTGTCTGTGGACTGCAGAAGCCAGGAGAGGGCATCAGATCCTGGGAGCTGGAAGTACAGGTGTTTGTGAGCAACCAGACCAGGGTGCTGGGAAACAAACATCTTCTAGAAAAGCAGCCATTTCTTCTGCTTCCAAATTGTCTAAGTAACTGAGGGTGTAACAGTTCAGTGTTTCTCCCAGGAGTATGGGGGCCCTAGTTTGACATCCAGCATCTTGCAGGTTGTGTATGGTTCTAGTGACAGAACATTAAACCAATCACAGGGCCTTAGCACACCGCTCGTGCTCTGCTTGGGTTTCCCAGTGGAAACAGTCCATGCTTCCTTTGCAGAAACCAGAATAAACAGGGACACCTCAAAGTCATTGGGCTTTTCCACACCATGTGGCCTGCCTATGGTCATCAAACAAGCTCTGTCGGTCATGAGTAAGGGTCACCCTCCGTAAGCAGTCTAATGGGCTGTTGCTGAATTCTTCTCAAGAAAGATTCGTACAATGGTCACCCCAAGGTAGAGCTCTACTTAAGATCGTCCCGCTCAGGGAGAGTGGAAGCAGTTTCTTTATTAGGCATACATCAGACATACAGAAGAATGGGTAGAGCACAGGTGACCTTGAAGTGGAAACTCTGCACCAAGAAATGAAGGATCCCCAGTGGCTGCATAGGCGGAACCCCTTCCTCATCCTTCCCCATCTACATCCTCTACACCCTCCCCTAATACTGTGTGCAATTAGTGTAGAATTGCATGGTCCCAGGACCTTTCCCACCACCTATTTCCATGAGGGAAGCAGTTAACAGGCCCAGCTGTGATCACTCACAAACTGGTGGAGCAAAACTCCCGCAGATGGTAGCAGTTGGGCTAGGAAGATAGTACTATGTAACATAGGCAAGGCAAGAGGACACATACTATATATAAGAGGGAGGATCAACTGGAGGAGAGGGAAAGAATTCAGGGAGGGTACCTGCTGCCAAGCCACTGCCAGTGGGAGAAGACATTAGTGACAGCACTCGGGCAGGGGGAGACAGACACACAGACACAAGGTTGTTATATAGCTCAAACTCGCCAAAGAATGGCTAGATGTTGAGGCAACACAGCTGAAAAAGCAAGGAGACTGTTTAAAATAAAAAAGTCTCACCTGCCGGAGCTTCTGCTTGCTGAGGTGGGAATTGGCCTGAGTGCCACCAGGCGACTGTTCACTTGCTACCCTAGTTTTGCTTGAGTGTTTCACTATACGGATGTAGACCAGGTTGACCTATGATTTAGAATCCCCCTGCTTCAGCTTCTCCAGTGCTGAGTTAGAGTCAACTCTAACTCCATTTGCTCTTTGTTTAAGACAGGATCTCACTATGCACCTCTAGCTGCACTTGAACTCCCTAGGTAGGACAGAGTGCTGGGATTAAAGGAGACCACCACCAGCACAAGTGGCTTTTTTTTTTTTAAGTACTGGTACTGAGTCAGGCACTAGGAAGACACTATTACTAAACTACACACCACCAGCCAATCTTTTTTGTTTATTTAGACAGCTTCTCTGTAGCTTTGGAGCCTGTCCTGGAACTCCCTCTGTAGACCAGGCTGGTCTCAAGATCTGCCTGCCTTTGTCTACCAAGTGCTGGAATTAAAGGCATGTGCCACCATCACCCAGCTCCAACCAATGCCCTTTTAAAACTTCCCTTGAGGCAGAATTTCACTCTTGTAGCCTTGCTAACTCCAAACTAGTGGTGATCCCTGTCTCAGCCTCCTAAATGCTGGGATTACAGGTGTGAGCCAAAAGGCTCAGCTCCTACCACTTTTGCTTAGATAAGGTCTCATGTAGCACAGACAGCTTCAAATTTGCAATGTAACCAAAGATGACTCCTGAGCCTCCTGCCTCCATGCCCCCCACCCCAAGTGTCAGCAAGGTCCCTGGTGCTGCAAAAGGTGATTGACAAGGCAATGAGGCGTGCATTAATCCCAGCACTCAGGATGCAGACGGATTTCAAGGCTCTCCTGATCTATATAAACCTTGCCTCAAAAAAATAAGTAAAAATAAAAAATTGGCTGGACATGACAGTGCATTCCTTTAATCTCAGCACTTAGGCAGACCTCTAGCTAGCCCGATTTGCATCTCAAGTTCCTGGCAACTAGAGTTCACAATGTAAGCCTTAGAAAAACAAAACAAAAAACCCCAAAACCATTACAGGAGCCGGGCGTTGGTGGCTCATGCCTTTAATCCCAGCACTCTGGAGGAAGAAGCAGGCGGATTTCTGTGAGTTCGAAGCCAGCCTGGTCTACAGAGCGAGTTCCAGGACAGGCTCCAAAGCAATCCAGAGAAACCCTGTCTCAAAAAACCAAACACCACAGACAGCCAGAATCATCAGAGGCTGACCAGGAACAGCTGGGTTATCTGCTGCTCCAGTAGCAGGTAGCAATCACGTCCTCCTTTCAAGCTACCTTAAAAGGGCAACAGGTTCCTTAGAAGGCCACAAGTGGGTGGAGCTAGTAGCCTAAGTCTGGCAGGGAGTCAGAATACAGGTCCCTAGCAATCATGTCTCTTGCTAAACTGTTTAGTCTTCACAACTTTCCAACTGCCCAAAGCCAGCTTTACCCTACCAATACTGCTAGATGTATTCAAGAGCAACTTGTAAACAGGTTGCTAACTGGAGAAGGTTCGTTTTGCACGCCATCTGGCCTCTGGGCAAAAAGAGAAAACACTCCAGGACCCTGAGGACAGAGGCCTTAAGATGGAGGACAGGACCAGCGGAAGCAGCGAGCCCTGAGGAGGCTAGGACCCAGGTGCCCACAGGGCCTACGTCACTACTCTTGCCTCTGCGTAGGCAACTGAGCCAGAGCCTCCAGAAGATCCCAAACCAGTTTCGTGTCCCCTAAAGTGTCCAAGTAGATTCTCAGCCCCTGCGAGTGTGTTCGGCAGGGAAACTGAGGCAGGGCGTTGGTATGGATTCATTCCTTCCCGCACACGTCTCAAGAAAAGCAAAGCTGTTCCCCCTACTCCTTAGGACCACACGGGACAACAGGGAAGGACGCGGAGATGGGGAGGGGGTCGAAAGCAATCAAGGTCTGGGGAGCCAGCCAACATTGCCACACTCAAGATGGCGGCGAGGCCGTGGCGAGGTCCCTCAGAGGCGGTACCAACGCATGCGCAGCGCGGAGTCCCGGCCCGGGACACAAGATGGCGGCAGCGGCGCTGGGGAGGGCGAGGCGGAGGCGGCAAAACGGGCGGTCGAGCAGAACGTGTGGCCGCATCCCCTCGAGTCCGCTTCGGGCAGGTAAGAGCCCCAGGAAGCCACGGTCCCGCCGCGAGCCGCGCCGGGGTCCGTGAGTCCGAAGCAGGACGGCGAGGCCCTTCCGGCGCTTCCCGCTCGGGGCTGCCGCTCGCCCGGTGTCTTTCGCCGCCGCCATCTTAGAGCCGCGGATGGGCAGCAGGGCCCCTGGCCCGGGTGAGTGCAGAGGGCCCGGAGAGCGCGGACGGAGCGGCCTCTAGGGCCCGTCCGCTGCTGCCGCTGCCGCCGTCACCACCGCCTTTGTGTCGGGCTCCGACTCTGAGTCGCCTCAGCCCGGGGGCGGGAGCGCGCGGCAGGGCGGGGGGCGGAGCCCGGAGATGGGCCGGCGCGCGCGCGCCCAACACCCCGCCCCCGCTGGGCCTGGGGGGGGAAGGGGCGCGGGGGCGCGCCGGGGTAGGCCCCGCCTCTGCGCATGCGCACTTGCCAGGCCCTGTGGCTCCGCCCGCTAGAGGCGGAGCACTATGATTGGTACACTGGGAAGTGCCCTCCAATGCCCGGAATCGGGTACTTTTCCTCTCCCGGGTTCCGCTGGTTGCGCAGACGGAGTTGTTTGTAGACTACGCTGCGCTCCGCCGACTTTGGTATGCGTGGGGGTCCGGAAGACAGAGGCTTAGCGAAAACATGAACCCAATGGGAGCGGCAGTGAGGGTGCACAGTACTCACTACAGTGCAGGCGGTCGGGATGGCAGCACGGCCTGGAGCTTGGTGGGTCTGGCCAACTTCCGAGCTGGGGGTTTTGGCCGGAGACCTGCTGCACCCATCTAAGAGGATTTGTTTCGTTTCTTACTTTAAGGGACAGGCTCTCTCTCGTGTAGCCTTGCCCGTCCTGTAGACCAAGCTGGTCTCGAATTCACAGAAATCCGTCTGCCTCTGCCTCTCGAGTGCTAGGATTAAAGGCGTTTGCCACCACGCCTGGCTCGTTTAATTTTTAAATTATTAGTGTGTGTATGTGCGCGCGTGCCCGGGCAATCACTGCACTACGTAGCTTTACCACTAGCCCTTAACTTCTAAGTTGATAACATTTTCAAGCCCTGTAAAGTGAAAAAAATTAGTCATCTTGTTTCCCACTCCTACTTGTGGTGTGTTTGAAAATTACAGGGCAAGACCTGGAATTCTAGCACTTAAGAGATAGAGGCAGGATAGGACGACCAAAGGCAATCTCAACAGTTGGAGATGTTGGCAGGATGATAGGCATTTAAGGCCAGTGCTAGCAATGTGAAACCCTGTCCTAAAGTTACCAATTCATTTGTAGCCCCCTTCCCTGTTTCTGACTCCTAACAGGTGTAATGGGGTACAGCAATCTGCCCTAAGTGAACTGGTTTGGGAAGTGTTGCGGTGGTCCCATTTGGGTGGCTCTGGGCTGGGCTGCTGCTTTCTCTAACAAATTCATCTACCAGGTGCATCCTGTCATTTTTCAATAAAGGTGAATGAGATGTGCTATATGTGTTTGCATGTTTTTTTTTTAACTTAAAATGTTTTTTGAATAAGACATTATTCATAGAAGCGTGTCTTATACTAGTTGTGGGTGACTTGAGATAGTGCCCTAAATCTTCCATATGTATGCTTTGTTCCCTTCTCTTTGGTCTACAGACACTTGCATGGGGCTTTAGGTTGGAAATGAAAACATGGTTGGCATTGGCATATGTCTGTATCCCACCTAATGGGAAGGCTGAAGTGAAAGAATCTTTTGAGCCCAGTGGTTGAAGATTAATCTGGGCAACACAGACAAATCCAATTCAGAAAGAAAAGCTGATCATGGTGGCCCTCACCTGTAATCCTAGCACTTGGGAAGTCAAAGAAGACAGATTGGGAGTTCAAGGTCATACTCAGCTACAAAGTGAGTTTGAGGCCAACCTGGAATACTTGAGCCCCCACCTCAACCCAAGAACAAAGAAAGAAAAAAAAAAAGTCAATTCCAGAATTGTAGGTGGGACTGCTTATTGGAGTGCTCACTTAGTACCGTGAGATCTGGCTTTGCTCTCTAGGAAAGCACATTTTTTCTTCTTCTAGTTCTGGTTATACAGGCTCCAATCTCAGCTAACTCAGGACAGGATGATCATACATTCGATGCCTTCTTGAACTACAGATCAAATTCAAGGATATTCTTGACCATTTTTTGAGACCCAGTCTCAAGTTTTTTTATGCATGAGTGCTCTATCTGCATGTACACCTCTATGCCATTAGAGGGCACCAGATCTCATTATAGATGGTTATGAGCCACCATGTGGTTGCTGGGAATTGAATTTAGAACCTCTGCAAGAATACTCAATGCTCTTAGCTGCTGAGCCATCTCACCAGCCCTGTTTAAAAAAACTAAAGAGGCCTGGCTCAGTGGCACAACAATTATGTAGCATGAGCGAGGATCTAGGCTCTGTCCCTATACCTCATATATTTGTCATGCTATGCATGGTCTCAACCATGTAACGTGTTGTAGCACATGAAAGAGTACTTGCCTGTCATGTACAAGGCTCTGGGCTTCACCCCTCACACTTCAGAACAAACAGCCAGCTTCAGGGCGATGTGAAAGCAAACCCCAGGTTAGAGCCCCAGTGATAAACCGAGCTCAGGGTCGGGAAGGCAGCCATTGTTGGTTGGAAGCTTGAGAAGTACATTGAGTTTTGTTTAAAAAAAAAAACAGGTGATGATGGTACAAGCTTTTAAACCCAAGCATTGGGGAGGCAGAGGTAGGCAGATCTCTGTGATGAGTTCAAAGCCAGCTTGATCAATAGGATGAGTTCCAGGACAGCCAGGGCTAAACAGAAGCCCTGTCTTAAAAAAAAAAAAAAAAAAAAAAAAAAAGATGACAACAAAAAGGATGCTTCAGCATATTTATTTAGATAGGGTCACACTATATCCACCAGGCTCATCTTGATCTCTGAGAAGTACAACTTTGATGCCTTGAGCCTCCAGACCCTTGTGTCCCTGTCTCTCTTCTGTTGTCCCTGCCTAGTAAGGCGTCACAGGCCAATGACTCTTCTGTTTGCTTTCCAGCTGCTGATGCACGGAGTCCCCTGGGTCCCTGTCAACTACACTGCTGACCAGCCTACCTTCCTGAGCTGCACCTTCCTGTGGGTCTCCCCCCTGCTTCTGTGGGACCCTGTGACGTGGGTTCAGCCCAGCCAGAGAAGAAAACCCTCTCATGCTAGTGTTGCAGACCCCAGAGGGTGAGAGAAAAGGGGACCTTATTCAGCCTTGAAAGCCATGGGCTCAGCCCCTAAAGGAGTCATTCCAAACCTTTCTGTAATCAAGGCCCTGTTGTTACACGTGTTCTGTTGCCGATGCAATTCTTATCTGCCAAACTGTACAGATAAAGTAACTATTGATTTTCCCTTTCCAAATTAACAGACGTTTCTGAGTGTACAATAAAATAAATATTTAATGATTCCTACAATGTGTCAACGAGTCAGGGATCCTATCAGCATGTAAAGAAAACCTTTCAATCAGCCTTTGTGGTCTTACTGTGGGTGAGGGTTTCTTGTGGGTTCTGTAATCTACTAAAAACATGAGCATTATCAGCCCCATCTCAGGCGTCTCCTAGGTGTGTAGTAATACCATCCTGGAAAGCACCTGGTCTTTGAGGCTTGTGCTAGGTGTGCTCTGGGAGGGAGTAGTGGGGAATACAGATCTGAAGAAGCAGTCTTCCTTCAGTGTTTAGCCTGGGGCTTCTAAAGGACTGAACCCTCTTCAGTTATACTGGTTTCCTTAGCAACAAACTACAACCAGAGTCCATGCTTCCTCCGTAGCTGGTCCACTGACTTTACCTACTGGGAGCAATAAAACTCTTGTCTTCCCAAGAAGAGAAGGCACTGGTCCTTGTAGGGCTGACTTCTCAAAGGCAGACCCTGTTCTTGTTGGCCCCTTTGGTGCTTTGTAAATGTTTGTAGGATTAGTAGAGCTCCTTTTGGGTCCAGGTGGCATTCCTAGCTCTGGAAAGCAATGCACTGGACCCAGTCTAAGGAGATCAGTCCTACTGTAGGTCTAGCCAGCTAAGTACTAAGATGCATTTTCAGTGATACTATAAAGGAGATTTGTTCACCAAACCTGGGCAGGGAGGCAGAAAAGAGAGCCTTCCTGGAGGATGTGAGCACAAGGGCAAGCCAGGACATTAAGGGGAAGGATTTTGCTAGGTGGGTACCCATCTTACAGTTGAGGGACAGAAACTTCAATCTCACAGCCCCTGTGGCACGAGTTGGTTAGCTGTCCAGGACAAGACTGTTGGATTCCTCAAATCTGTAGATAAGTTATCAGAGCCCTAGGTTGTAATTGGTGAGTAGGATGAAGTTGACACTCTTGGTCCTCTGTGTGGCAGGTCCCGTGTGGCTGCTGAGATGGCCAATGAGAATCACGGCAGCCCCCGGGAGGAAGCATCCCTTCTAAGTCACTCTCCAGGCACCTCCAATCAGAGCCAGCCCTGTTCTCCAAAGCCAGTCCGCCTGGTACAGGACCTCCCAGGTACCGGAGGGAGTGGTGTGGGCTGGTAGGAGAGCAGTGCTGTACGCAGCCCTGACTGTCTGGGTTGTACTCTTGTTGCAGAGGAACTGGTACATGCAGGCTGGGAGAAGTGCTGGAGCCGGAGGGAGAGCCGTCCCTACTACTTCAACCGATTCACCAACCAGTCCCTGTGGGAGATGCCCGTGCTGGGCCAGCACGATGTGCTTGTGAGTGCCAACTTGGGGCAAGGGTGTCAGCAGGCCTCTGGCCTTCCACAAGTGTATCTCACACAGCTAAGTGTCTAGCTCTGTGCAGATACCTGCAGATAAAATGTCAAGCAAGACAATCCCTGTCTTCAGAGACCCTGCAATCAAACAAGAGAGGCAGGGGAGCAGATTATTAGTGTAGCATGCTGAACACTGGGTACCATGCAAAAAGGTAGGCGTCAGCAAGACAGACGAGCTCCCTGTCTTTGCAGTATACTTCTTCTGTGGCAGACAGTAGCAGTCTAGTTGTGGACTTACTTAAAGAATGTACTGAAGTCCGTTCTGGGGAAGAGAAGGAAGCACTCCTCTGACAATCAGGGCTTAATGTGAGGCTGGCTAAGTGGGAGGGGAAGAATGTTATAAGAGTATAACCACAGGCTGTCTGAAGGAACCTTAGCTCTTGGATCCCTCAGCTGGAGCAGCCCTTACTATACACAGTCAGGCAGGGACATCTGCATTTTGCAGGCGAAGACACTGAAGTTGAAAGGGAAGTAACTGGCCTAAGGCTCCTTGTAGTAGAGGGGTGTTTGCACGGATTCTTGGTATCATCAGAGGAGGACTATGCAGAGCCTTGCTCATCTGAAAAATAATGTTCCCTGACTTCTCTTGATTCCTGATTTCTATTTTGTTCTCAAGGCACTGATCTAGTGCCAGACATCATAGCAAGTCATTCACTGACATGTGTCACAATGTCAGTGGTGAGGTGGGGTTAACATGGCCTTTCTGAAGGTGAGGGCACCAGGAAGCAGGCAGCTCACCCCTGGCCACAGCTGCAGGTCATAGACAAGAGTGGAGCCCAAGGTTCTTCATCTGTATCCCAGGTCACTGGCTTCCTTAAGGAGCCAGAGCAAGGTGGGAAGGCAAGAGTTTGAACTGTTGGGGCTCCTTAGCCACTGGCCCTGTTTCCCATTCTGCTGTTTTCCCTCCACTAGTCCGACCCTTTGGGGCTGAATGCAACCCCACTGCCCCAAGACTCAAGCTTGGTGGAAACTCCGCCAGTGGAGAATAAGCCCAGAAAGCGGCAGCTCTCAGAAGAGCAGCCAAGTGGCAATGGTGTAAAGAAGCCCAAGGTGAGTATCTGGGGCTCCCAGACACGGCTGGCAAGGGGTTACCTTGGGCATGTGGTCAGCAGCTCCCTGCAAGGGCTGTCAGGAGGAAGTCCCAAGTGCCGCTGCTGGGTACGGTGCTGGGCCTGGCTGCAGTCTTCTGACTTGATATCTTTTGGATTCTTTCCCTTCAGATTGAAATACCCGTGACACCCACAAGCCAGTCGGTACCCAGCTCCCCCAGCATCCCAGGAACCCCAACACTAAAGATTTGGGGTGCATCTGCTGAAGATAAACAGCAAGCAGCTCTCCTCCGACCCACCGAGTGAGTCTCTGCTGATTGCCTTAGATATATCCATGCTGATGGGCATCCTGCCCAGGACTGTGTGTTGTGGTGGGCAGGCCATTTTCACAACTCCTGTCTGTACCCCTAGGGTGTACTGGGACCTGGACATCCAGACCAATGCTGTCATCAAGCACAGGGGTCCTTCAGAGGTCCTGCCCCCACACCCTGAGGTCGAGCTGCTCCGCTCTCAGCTCATCCTGAAGCTACGCCAGCACTACCGGGAGCTGTGCCAGCAGCGGGAGGGTGAGGGTTCTGCAGCCTCCCCTTGGCTTCACCACTTGGTTTTGGGTGGGAAGGGGGCCTGGTGGTTCTCAGCGTTTGCTGTAGGGAAACAGGCTTGTTGGAGTCCCAGCTCTGATGTGGAGTGTGTTTCTCAACTTGCCTGCAGTTCCCACACCTGTAAGCTGGGGACCAAAATTCTTAGAGAAGGCATGCTTGGAGCTCACACCTGCCAGCTCTCAGGAGGCTCAGGCAGGATTTCAAATTCCAGGCCAGTCTGGGCTGCATTACCAGACACTGTCTTTAAAAAAAAATTACTCATGAGTCTCAGAATATAGTTTGGGAAATGAAGCCTAGGAAATAAGCACATGAAGAAATACCTACAGCTGTGCCTTTTTCTGTCCCAGTGGATCCTGCCGACCACTTCAGGTCCTTACCTTAGCAACTCTCTTGCCCCACAGGCATTGAGCCACCCCGAGAATCTTTCAACCGATGGATGCTGGAGCGCAAAGTAGTAGACAAAGGATCTGACCCCCTGCTGCCAAGCAACTGTGATCCAGTTGTGTCACCTTCTATGTTTCGTGAAATTATGAATGACATTCCCATCAGGTATAGGTCCACAGCTCAGCTGCCTGGTCCTTGCGCCAGGTCACATGTAGGAGGGCTCTAACTCTTGCCTATTTTCTAACTCAGGTTATCCAGAATCAAGTTCCGGGAGGAAGCCAAACGCCTGCTCTTTAAATATGCAGAGGCTGCCAGGAGGCTCATTGAGTCCAGGTTTGACTTTCTCTGCCTCACACAATCAAAATGGGGTGGGGGAGGGGCAATGCATCTGGCTAATGCTCAGGCTTGTCATTGATGCCAAAGACAGGTGGGTGGTAAGCCTAGGGCTAGTGCCTGAGATGGTAGCAAGGTAGGAGGTGGGGAGGAGCAGCACAAAGTACAGCTTTCTCTTGCTATCAACCTGCAGGAGCGCATCCCCTGACAGCAGGAAAGTGGTCAAGTGGAATGTGGAAGACACCTTCAGCTGGCTTCGGAAGGACCATTCAGCCTCCAAGGAGGACTACATGGTGAGAGGGCCCCAGATACACACAAACAGCTGTCTTTCAACCTGATGAGTGCACAACATGTCACCTCAGTAGGTCTGTGAGAACAGTCTGTCTTTTCCTGTGTGTATCCGTATTACACCTAAGAGATGGCTTAGCAGTTAAGAGCACTGGCTGCTCTTCCAGTTGATTGGATTCAATTCCAGCACCCACCTGGGGCTTACAGCTGTCTGTAACTCCCATTATAAGGGATCTAATGCCCTCTTCTGGCTTCTGTGGGCACCAGGCATGCATTTGGTATACAGACCTAAGTGATGGTAAAATACACACACACACACACAAACTAAAGAACAGTTAGCCACCATCGGATTCAGTCCCTACTCTTAGCATACCCACAGCCCTTCTGTTCTCTGGCCTGTGCCTGTCACTCATCCATCTCTATCAGCACTTGCAATGGGCTTTCTTTTCAGGACTGTTTTTCAGACACATTTTACACATTACAATAGTAAGCATACTTGTCACGTGGTGACAGACGTAGGTACACTCCCTGTCCAGAATGACTTGTTCTCTTTACAAGAACTTAAAAGCACAACCTTTGAGTTTGCACCAACTCAGTTCTCTGGAAGGCAAATGCTGCAAGGTGGGGGCCTGCCTGGCTTGCCTCTTTCTCCACCAGTTATCTTGGGTTCTGCTAATGTAACTGCAACAAAAACTACAGCCATTCATTAGTCGCTTACATGACAGGGGCTTGGTGGATCAAGGGAATGACAGACTATTCACGATGTCCTATTTACTAGCTTCAATTCCCTTGAATTGAAGATTCAGAGTCCAAGCTACATAGCTAGTAAGCAGTAGTGCCATTTACAAAATTGGGACATCTGGGACCCAACAGCCCCACAGAAGTTCTGCCTGCCAGCCCTTTTGCCACCAGTGTCCTGACCAGGGCTTTTCTCCAGGACCGCCTGGAGCATCTGCGGAGGCAGTGTGGGCCCCATGTCTCCGCTGCAGCCAAGGACTCTGTGGAAGGCATCTGCAGCAAGATCTACCATATCTCCCTGGAGTATGTTAAACGGATCCGAGAGAAGCACCTCGCCATCCTCAAGGAAAACAACATCCCAGGTAGGTCCCAAATAGCGAGCCAGCTGCATTGCCATCTAGTCTCTGTCCTAGGCCCTGGTTGAAGGAACATTGTGAGACTGTGCCTCAGAGCCTAGCACTGGACTGACTTGGAAGAAGCTATTTCTTGGGAGTAATGTTGGGTAGAATCTGCTATGTTCTTTGGCTCTGAGGTGTTAGTGCTCCCTTGGGAAATGAATAGAAGAGAGAATAATGAGCCAGAAGTTGATGAAAGATGGGCCAGTTAGTTAAGCAGATCTGGGTCATATCTGTTCCCTAAACTTTTGCTTTCCCCAGACCCTAGTGTAATAGTACCTGCTCTGACAATGTGAACATTCATAGCAAAAAAACTACACAGGCCCCAAAGATCCTTGCATAAGCAAATTTAACCAGACAAAGGCCACTGTTTTCCTACTTCCAATTTGTCTGGCAGGCCTAAGGTTTTGCAAATCTGCTTCAATGTTGAGTGTGTTGATATATGCCATCAGTTAATGCCAGTTGCCTGATGGTTTTTTAATGGCTTTGTTTCCTTTGTGGTAGAAACTGTTTCATTACCTGATCTGTGTAAGCACTGGCACAATGGGTGCAGAGTTGTCTAGAGTTAGACCACCCCTTACTGTCCTTCCCTGCCCACAGAGGAGGCGGAGGCCTCAGAGTTGGAGCCCCGCCTGGTGTACTGCTACCCAGTCCGTCTAGCTGTGTCTGCACCCCCCATGCCTAATGTGGAGATGCACATGGAGAATAGTGTGGTCTGCATCCGGTATAAGGGAGAGATGGTCAAGGTCAGCCGCAGCTACTTCAGCAAACTGGTGAGAGCTGGGGAGGCCCATGCTATGGTGTGAGTGGAGGCCTGGGGCCCTCCTTGACCACAGTTCTCAGCAGCTGGCCAGTGGTGAGGTCATGAGGTCACTGCTGAATCCCTTTCTGTCATACAGTGGCTCCTTTATCGCTATAGCTGTATTGATGACTCTGCCTTTGAGAGGTTCCTGCCTCGAGTCTGGTGTCTTCTCCGTCGGTACCAGGTACAGATCTGGGGCCGGGAGGACTCCCTTGAAGGGAGCACGGAGATTGAGCCTTACACTGACTACAGCTAATCTGCAGATGATGTTTGGCGTGGGCCTCTATGAGGGGACTGGTCTGCAGGGATCACTGCCTGTGCACGTCTTTGAGGTCCTCCATCGACTCTTTGGTGTCAGTTTCGAGTGCTTCGCCTCACCCCTCAACTGCTACTTCCGCCAGTACTGTTCTGCCTTCCCTGACACAGATGGCTACTTTGGCTCCCGCGGGTGAGATCCAGGGGTTGCTGGCCCCTTCTGCCTATAAAGATGTCTAGGGCATAGGTCTCACCTGAGCCTGCTTCTTAATGCTTAGGGCTTTGGAATCAGGCAATCTTGAAGGTAACCCGTCTTCACTATTTACCATGTGTGCACACTATTTACTGTGTGACCTTTGACATGCTGAGGAAGCAATGGGAGCCTACATTTTTCTGGCTTCATGGGCGGACATATAACAGACACTACCTAAGCTGTCAAGTAGGCTTCTCTGTGAATTGGCTTAGGTTTGGATTAGGAACCCTTGGCCAGTCACTGGGGGATGAGAAGGGTAAGGCAGACCTCAAAAGCAGCAGGGTGAGGAGCACAAATGACCAGGTAAACAGTAGGAAGACAGTGCTCACTGGAAGGAGAGATGCTGTGCTCATCAGCTGGGGAAGCCCTGGGTGTGGCTTCTGCTGTGGTGGCTCTGGACTCTAGTTCTTCAACTTAGTGAATAAGGCACACACCTAGTCTCTATCCTCAGGTTACCTATTCAAGGGACATAGTCATTTCCTTATCCTAGCACAATTAAGGATGAATGTTGGCCTGTGTCCTGACTGTGGTCATCTCTTCCTGGTGGCTGTCTAGAGGTGGGGGCAGTATGTGTGAGGGGCTGGGTGTTGGTGGGGCTACCATGCTCACCTTTCTGTAGGCCCTGCCTGGACTTCGCCCCACTGAGTGGTTCCTTTGAGGCCAACCCTCCATTCTGCGAGGAGCTGATGGATGCTATGGTCTCTCACTTTGAGGTGGGTGTGCTGCCAGCTGACGGGGGCAGGCAAAACTGCCTTCCAGGGCTGTACCTCATCTCCACCCTATACTTTCCCTCCCACAGAAACTGCTGGAGAGCTCAGCAGAGCCTCTGTCCTTCATTGTGTTCATCCCCGAATGGCGGGAGCCCCCCACGCCAGCGCTCACCCGAATGGAGCAGAGCCGCTTCAAACGCCACCAGCTGGTCCTGCCCGCCTTTGAGCACGAGTACCGCAGTGGCTCCCAGCACATCTGCAAGAAGTAGGTGCCCGGACAGCAGGGGAAGGAAGCCAGGTCAGGCTGGCAGGCTGGGTGAGCAGGCCAGTCTGTGCCCCATCTTCAGCAGCTGCCTTTGCCCACAGGGAGGAAATGCACTACAAGGCCGTCCACAACACAGCCGTGCTCTTCTTGCAGAATGACCCCGGCTTTGCCAAGTGGGGGCCAACGCCGGAACGGCTGCAGGAGCTCACCACTGCCTACAAGCAGTCGGGCCGCAGCCACGGCTCCAGCTCTTCCTCATCCTCTTCCTCAGAGGCCAAGGACCGGGACTCCAGCCGGGAGCAGGGCCCTAGTCGAGAGCCTCACCCCACTTAACATATCCTGCGGGGAGGAGGAGCCCAGGGGTGCTGTTACAGACTGCTGAGACTCAGTCCTCAGGGCTGAGCAGGCCCCAGGCCTTCCCCTGAGGTGGCAGCAGGACGTGGGCTGCCAAGGACATAGGAATATTATGGCTCTGCCAGGGCTCCCCCTCCCTGCTCTCATTCCCTCAGACTCACCAAGTCCCTTGTAAATAGGCCCATGCCTCCTCAGCCCCACACTGACCCTGTTGCTGCCTTGTTTCATTTGTAAAAGGAAATACAGAAACTCCCTAAGAGTGCGTGAGGGCCTTGGGGCAGGTGCCTCTCTGACCACTCCCTACCACATGTAGGTGCCCCTTATCAAGATCCCTAGGCTTTCATACCCATCCCTGGGTCCTCGCAGATCTGAGTCCCTAGAGGTGTCTGAGCTCAGCAGGTTGGAGGAGTCCAGAGCTCTGCAGCTGAGCCCGTCTGGCCAAGTCTGGGTCCTGTCTAAACCAGACTCACAGACTGCTAAAAGCTTTACAGTCGAGGCTCAGGCGCAAGTACAGCCTCAGAGGTTTAGTACTTGCCCTTTGAGCACAGGAAGCCCATGGAGAAAGCAGGGTTCTCTAGCTCAGTCCTCTGCTGAGGTCAGACGGGCCTGGCCTGTACTGGGACCACGGGAACAGGGGGGCCAGCTGACTGTGGAGCTGGGCAGCCTCCACTTGTTGAAACTTCTGCCTGCTTTCCTGGCCCTTACTTGGTCAGGTTATTAGCATGTGTACAAAGAGAGCTACAAGGGCTGGACTCTGGTCCCTTTATTGAGACTGAGGAGCCAGTGGGTCCATCCAAACAAAAATAAACTTCTCTCCCAAAGCCTGCCAGCAGGCTGAAGTGCCCAGCATGTCCTGGCTGGGGCCCATGGCTGCCCCACAAGAGCACAGGTTTGGCTCCTTTGGAGTCAAGGGATACTGACTGTCCAGTATCTGGAGTCCCTAAGTAGGACAGGAAAGTCCCTAGTCTCCAGGAGAGCTGGCCCCGATATCCAAGATCAGCGTTGGGCCCTTGCGGCTCAGTCATCCGTGATGGTAATGACGTCGTACTCGATGCCCTGGTGTTGCAGCTGTTGGATGTGTTCAGGCACTGCCTCCTCAGTGCCAAACAGGCCCTGGGCTTGGGCCATGGCAGCATCAGCCACCGCTGCCAGGGGAGGGAAAAGCACAGTAAGCCCAAGGCTTCAGGAGCTAGGCCTGGCCTCAGTTTCCTGGCTGTCAGTGTCCAGCCCCATCCATACCTGTAACAGCAGAATGTGCTGCAGCCTCAAGCTGAGCCTGGGTGACAAGCTGCTGGCCTGGGGATACAGGTACATACTGGATCTAGAGAAAGAAGTCAGTAAGAGTATAGTCGCACAGGAACCTCAATACCCCACCTCTGCCTTTCCCCTAAGTACCATACCTGGGACTCCTGCAGGAATGGGGTACCTTGCTCATACTGGATGTGTGTGATCTGGCCTTCCTGGACCTGGAGATAGGAAGCTAGCCAGTGACACTAGAAAGAGGCTGTGCAGCCTTCCTCCAAACCCTTCCTTGCCCCAGGCCTGGCCTACCTGGATATGATGGCCATCGGGGACCACAACATACTCCTGAGGCAGTAGGTGCTGTACGCCGTCCTGAGAGATGATATACTGAACCTAACAAAGGAGGACAAGGCAGGTGCTAGGGCTCCACTCAGTGAGAGCTGAGGTAAGTGGGCAGAGTTGAAGACAACTATGGACACTGGCCCAGGGAGTCTGGAAACTTGTAAGATGGGCCTTGGGTAAGGAGACTGGAGTTTACCTGGTTGTCAGAAGTCACCAGGTGCTGTACTGTCTGCCCATCTGCCGTGGTGATTTCCTGGATATAGGCAGCTTCCTCCTGTCAAGACCAAGCCCAACTTAGCCACAGTTCTTTCTTTATTCCTGTGTTCTGTGTTGTTTTTTGGTGTGTGTGTGTGTGTGTGTGTGTGTGTGTGTGTGTGTGTGTGTCCGCCCCCCACTCCTATATGGAGGCCAGGTGTGTGTGTGTGTGTGTGTATGTGTGTGTGTGCCCTGTGTGTGTATGTATGTATGTGTATGTGTGTGCCCCCACTCCTGTATGGAGGCCAGAAGGTCAGAACAGGGAGGGCATCAAGCATTGTTCTTCACCACTTTTTTCTTTTGCCTGCTCTGTCGAGGCAATCTCTCTCCATGAACCAGGAGTTCTGGCTTGGCTGGAAGCTACACAAACTCCAGGGATCCTCTCGTCTCTACCCTACTTGGATTAGCTGGGCTTCTAGGAGTGTAAGACGTGCCAGACACCTGGCTTGTAACATGACGGGAGCTGGGATCCAAATTCTGGGCCTCATGACGGTGCAAGGCTTCTGACCATCTGAAGCGCCTCTCAGTTCCCCTAGCCTTCGTTTTGTCTATCCCATCCTCTCTGCAGGGACTCCAGACCTTGCTCTTACCTGATTGGTTACTGTCTGTTCCTGGGCCACAAAGATGTGTTCCTGGCTCAGTGCCTGCTGTAGCCGCTCTGGACCCAGGACCCCATGACTGGATTGGAGGGCAGCTGGCAGAGAGGAGGGGAGCTCATTAGAGGGCTCAGAGAAGACATAAATGCCTCACCCCTGGGGTTCCCTTGGGCTGTGGTTCTAGCCTTTGGACCTGCCCTGTGCCCTGGGGTAGCTCACTGTGCAGTGTGGCCAGCGTTTCCTCTTCACTGTTGAGGATGATGGTCTGGGCTGGGGCTCGGGCTGTAGACGCTCCAGTCTTTCTCCCATCGCTGTTATGTAGCCGCTGGATGTGGAATTTGAGGTGCCCATTCCGGTTGAAACTACGGAGAGGGAAAAGTAGGTGTGAAGTGTCTCTACCGCGTGTGCATGGAAGTACCCCTACTCCTAGCCATCCCCAGCCTCACCGCTGCCCACAGAGGTGGCATGAGAAAGGCTTCTCATTGGTGTGTGTTAGCATGTGCCGCCTCAGATCCTTCTTGTTCTTGGAGGCGAAGCTACACTGGTTGCACTGGTGAGGCCTTAGGCTTGAGTGCTGCGCCATGTGAGCCTACACACGGTAGAGACCAGGCGTCAATGGGTCAGAATGGAAGGCAACAAGTCTCCACAAAAACTAAACGCACATGTCATGTCAGTGAGGAGCCAGACCAAAAGGACAGACCTGACTGAGACTGGTATGCCACAGGCAGAAGCCAGAGGCTGCGCCATTACACCACTTGGGTAATTCTGTCTCAGTTTGTGGCTTTGTGTTGTAACTTACTGGTGGACCTCCTGCATGCTAGGGCTCAGTCCTGTGAAACAGGGCCTTAGCCTTCCCATTGGAGGGTGGGGTTCTAGGCCCTGGCCCCTCACAGAGCTCAGAGGATGCAGCATGGGGAGGGATCTGGAAACTGGAAACCCTCTGGCAAGTGGAAGGAGCTCAAGAAATGATTCGGAAGCTGCTCTGCTGTTTGTTTTCACACCATCCCACCCTGGCTGTGAATGTCTGCCCTCCCACCATCCTCTAGCATCTTCAGTCTCCAATCTTGTCACTCTCTCTGTGCCTGTGCCCCATGGCTACTTCTGTTGTCTTCCTAGCACCCTATCTGATGCCTTGCCGCCCCGATCTATACTCTCCATCTTTCACACTGCGAACACAGTCTGGCATTAGTCACTTTTTATCTGACCGGGCAGCTCCCAAAGAGCTGGGATCTTGCTTAGTCAACTATGACCCTAGAGGGGAACAGAGGGCTAGGGTTGAGATGCTCAATAAAGGGTTCTTAAAAATAAGTGACCACAAGAATGAAGGCAGAGGCAAAGGGGAGGGGGTTGGGGTTGGGTTAGCACCTACCCGGACCTCAGGCCACTGTCGAGCACGGAAGGGGCAGTCAGGGCACTTGAAGGCAGCAGGCCCAGCGTGGGCCCGCTTGTGACTCTCCATCTCTGCTCGGCCAGCAAAGGCCTCTGAGCACACCTTGCAGGAGAACTTCTTTGCTGACAAAGCTGCTGCAGATGGTGGGGAGGTGGGTACTACCAGGCCTACAGTGTTGCTAGTTGCAGGGGGTGGGGTGGAAGAGCTCTGGGGGCCTCCCACATGGTGGCTCTTCACTGGAGACACAACCTCAGGACCATCTCTGGGCGGCCCTCCACACTGCAGCAAGGGCCACTTTGCTCCAGAGGCCAGAGCATCTGGACTTGGGAAGGAGATGGAGCCATCTGCAGTCAACTGTAGAAAAACCCACAGCATGAGGTGCTGAGGAGGGGCAGAGGCAGGACATTGGGTGGGGTAGCCACTCCCAATACTCACCTCAATGTGGTGCAACTGGGTCCCATCAGCTGCCATGATGTAGTGGGTGCCAGCCTGGGCAGCCTCCCCAGGAGCTTCTTCACTAAAGGCACAGAGAGTGGAGGTATGAGGTGGGGTTCCAGAAAAGGATGAAAGGCTACAAGAATCCCTTCACCAAGCAACAGTCAAGCTGAAGAAGCCGGAGTGAATGTAGGTCTTGTTCAACCATTTCTACCCGGCCTCTTACTCTCTCTCCCATAAATGATTACTAAGAGCTCAGTGTTTCACCCGACTCAAGGGGTGACCCCCATTTCCCTTGGTATGGAGAAGACAGCACTCCAGGTATCCAGCTCAAGTCTGGCCAAAAGGGACTGGAGGCGAGGCCAGCAAACAGCAGGGAACAGAATGGAGCTGCTACCCAAGCAGAGAGGGCAGAGGCTGAGAGGCAGTGTGCTCAGATGCTGGCTCAGTGCTCCTGGCCCTCATTACAGCACAGGTCAGAGCTCCTCAGGTGGCCCAAGAAGAGTTCAGTGGGCAGAGAAACACCTGTCAGTCACAGATTTGCACCAGAGGGAAGCTAAGCAGTTTCAGGCAGTCCATCAACAAAGGAGTCCACACTTGTTCAAGAACTCAGGACAGGGAGTTCATTGGGGTGGAGAGCTGGAGAGATGGTATAGCACCTGAGAACACTGGCTGCACTTGCCAAGGACCCAGGATTGTTTCCCAGCACCCACAGTCATGGGGGGATCCTATGCCCTCTCATAGGGGGAAAAGGCACATAGCGTTGGGAACCAGGGTTCCAAGCCTCATCTAAGCATCTGACCAAACCTCACTAGCTTGCCTCCACATCTGCAAAAGCAGCGAAACCTGGATCTTGTGGACACTAACTAGGCAAGACCATTAGTGCAAAGTTCCCAGAACAGCCAATGACCAAAGAATGGCAGCTTCCCACCCTGCACAGGACACAATCTCCTGCTGCCCTGTCACTGTACAAATCAGGACTCTTGCCTCCTGCTAACTAGG